ATCTGCTTTTCTGTTTAATAGAAAATTGGATTCTATTTTTAGTTACAACTGTCTACAAGTCTCAATATGCAATCAAAAATAGGAATGGTATGAATTTCCTCTTGAAAGAATCATCAAGCAGCCCATCTTATTATAAGTAAAAACACCATGTTTAAGTCTGAGTTATTTCTAATCAGGAGATTTTTGTATGATTTCCCTCCATAAAGTTACTTGAGGACTATATTATAGCCAGTTTTTTTTAAAGACATTTCTAAAATACATTTTACTTAACTTTTCAAGAATATGTTATTTTTATTTTAAACCATAATATATCTTTTCCAACATTATCTCACAATGTAGAAACAGGTTTTATTTTAAATACCTCAAAGAAATATCCAGAATTTGAAAATCAAAAGCTTGTCAAACTGGAGCATACAAAAATCATTTTAGGAGAATTTATGTTTGCTATTTATTAGTTAGCTAGATACCAGATACTGTGATATTATGTATTAACATATAGATTTCTGTTCAGTGGAAAAAGTAACCCAAATGTCACTCCTTTTCTGTCTGATTAGGATATTAACTTGTTTTTGTATCAAGCTAGAGATTTTGCTCTAACTTTTCTTTTTTCAAAATGCCTAGAAACAGCCATTCTTCAAAATGATGTTTTAATCTTTTTTTAACCATTTCATTGGCATTCTCATTCATTAATGAGTTGAATAAAATTTTTGACATGTGTTTATTAAATATTTGTATGAATCATATTTTTAACTTTTTGAAAATTACACTTGAACAGTTTTGGAGGTTATTCACAAGATGCCCGAGTGGACTCTGCCAGAGATAATTTCGTGGTGTTGCCAGAGGACTGCAATTAATTCATTGCTCGTTAGGCCCAACCACATACTTTCTTGCTCTTGGAATCTCAAGTGGCGCTAGGACTTTGCCTTTGATACTCTTTGCTTCCTAGGTTCCCTTCCCCCTCAGTTTTGTTCCTTTGTTTTTTTCTAGTTCTTGGCCAAGTCTCTTAGTCCGTTCATTCTCTAACTCATGGCTTGAGTTCTCTCTTCACAGCCAGAGGCAAGGACCATGGACCACCAGGCTTGCCTTGATGGCAAAGTCTAGGGAACTGTGTAGATGTGAGTTGTTTTGTGCATCGGTGATTCAAATTGTCCACCAAGATGACGGAAATCGATTCCATGAGATGAAAAACGATAGAAAATCTACTTTGTTAGCTTTCTTCTTGTTCATTTTACTATATGTGAACTCAAATCGATGGCAAAAATATTTTTTGAACACTGCAGAATAGAACAGACCTCTACGATTTGTGTTTCTTTTTTAATCTTGACCTATAACTGAGGTTGTAAAATTGAAGATGAAAGCTGTCTATGTGTCTGCAATTGAGAAAAGCCTTTACCTCTCATCATGTGAGTTTGAAATATTTTCCTACCTTTAGGGGATATTATTACACTAGACTATAAAAACTCCCAAAGAAGCTCTGTTTTAACTGGTTTTTAGAGAAAATTAAGCACCATATATTTCCAATATTTTTAGGACAATCAAGAAACCAAACTTTAAATATTTTAAATACGCTAGCCTTTTAAGAAAAAAAAAAAATTCTCACCGAAACCATTAGCTAGAAACATTTTTTATATAAAAATTCAAGCTCACTAACTTAAGGTGAATCTTGCAACAAATAAGACTGGCTTAATAATTTTGCTTTAAAAAGGTAAATGATGAGCTACATACAATTTTCTGAGTTTATCAGCATGTGGTACAAAGCAAGCATACATTTTATTTTTTAATAGGATTTGGGTTTGTTATTTTATGAAGAAGCAAGCTAATCTAGACTGCCTACATTTTTTATACTGGTTTACTGTACAGAATATATCATTACTTCCGCAGAATGCTTGAGATTGCGAAAACAGAAAACTACTGTTCAGTCAGATTAAATCATAATTCCGCCAGTGTTTTTATATCAACAATAATTTTGATCTGCAGTGTGTCAGCTTAAATAAAAGTTCAATGTCTTCAGTTAATTAAACTGAATTGATAGATAATTTCTAAATAAGAGAGACTACTGAAGATCATATTAACGATCTTTGTATTAATGAATCACATTAATGAATCATATTAATGAACTTGTCTACTCTGACTTCTTGAAGAAATTGCAGAAGTGATGTAAGGTGACAGCAGAAGGTTGTACTATGTATGGCTGTGAGTTTTGCTGGTCTGCCAGCAAATGCCTGTGGACACTAGACAGTCCTTGGGGATGCATCTCCCAGCGTTGTCTGCAAATTAGAAGCCAGTTCATTGGGTTAATAGTGATTTAGACTATTCTAGAAGTAATTGTGGTACACAAATAGAACTTTATGAAAGTCATGGATATGTTGCTGCTTATCAAGTGAAAAACCAAAAGAAGTGTGTTTGAAAATCAAGTGCTTGGTTATTCCAAAATGGAAAAAATATATATATATGGCAAAAATAAAATTTGAATAAATCAGTTGCAGAAGGTTTTCGGAAAGTTTATTTTATTTATCTTAAATGACAATATCTGTAAATAATGGGTCTGAAAAGAAGCAATGAAATGTGTCAAATTTTTGTGTAAAAGTTCTCTTAGTTGATGGGCTAAGATTTTTTTTCTTTTTATTAACATATAATGTATTATTTGTTTCAGGGGTACAGGACTGTGATTCATCAGTCTTACACAAGTCACAGCACTCACCATAGCTCATACCCTCCTACACTGTTGGTGGGAATGCAAGCTGGTGCAGCCATTCTGGAAAACAGTATGGAGTTCTTCAAAAAGTTGAAAATAGAGTTACCCTATGACCCAGCAATTGCACTACTGGGTATTTACCCCAAAGATGCAAATGTAGTGATCTGAAGGGGCACATGCACCCCAATGTTTATAGCAGCAATGTCCACAACAGTCAAACTATGGAAGGAGCCTAGATGCTCATCAAAAGATTTTTTTTTAAAGGTGGTTCGTGAGTCCCTTACAATGAGATATTATATTAATACAAAACCAGAATATTTGTCTTTCTCTCTTAAAATAAAATCAATTTTGAAGTATTTTGTTTGCTCTTAACAATGCCATTATTTATTTTGCCTGAAATCAGCTCAGGCAACCAAAATTCCATATTACATCAGAATAATTTTTGGCGCTTTGCATTGATTTTGGCATGTCTTTATTATTACAAACAAGAGAACAAAAAAACAAAGCAAAGTAATGAAGGTTTCTTATTTCTGAAAGAACTAAGTTTTCTTACAATTGAATAAACTTCTATATTTCATATTGTGTTGTCATCCTAATTCAATAGGTAGCTACGTATTGTTTCATGTGACCATACTGCATTCAAGTGTTTGAAAATTTCACTTTGACAATAACTAGTCTAGTACCTACTAGCACCGTAACCACCTTGCAGAAGGTTCTCGACTGAATTTACCGATGTACTGTAGGCCTCTTGTTTTCCGTTGCTCGAGATCCATGTTGAGGGGCGCCTGGGTGGCTCAGTTGGTTAAGCGACTGCCTTCGGCTCAGGTCATGATCCTGGAGTCCCTGGATCGAGTCCCACATCGGGCTCCCTGCTCGGCGGGGAGTCTGCTTCTCCCTCTGACCCTCCCCCCTCTCATGCTCTCTGTCTCTCATTCTCTCTCTCAAATAAATAAATAAAATCTTAAAAAAAAAAAAAAATCTATGTTGAGCTCATCATTCTAAATTCCACTTCTGTCCACTTTGATGTCCAAAAAAATTTTAAGTATTTATTTTCAAGTGATGGGTCAAATGGTGTGCCCTGACTTGACATGATATAACCAAAGACAGAAGTTAATGCAATACACCATGGAACTTTGTTAAAACTGACATGTGAATTGAAGAGTTCCTATTTGTCACAGAATGACTGACTTCTCTTAATCCTTCTCTTCATTTTAGAGGATTAAGACTTCTTAGACCTATAGATTTTTTTTAGAATTTATAAGGATTTTAAAGATTTTTTTAAAAAATTAAACATTATACACGTAATTGTGTGTGTGTGTGTTTATATGTGTTCTTAGTCTGTGAAGGATATCAACACACTCTTTCCTGTCATTTTTATCTGGGGAGTGGAGTTAATGAATATGGAACTTCAGCCATTCTTTGCACAGCCATTCTTTGTCGCTATTGGCATGTTCACCCAAGATTTTTTTTTTTTTAACATGGATGCCTCCAATGAATGAAATATACTTTTTAGAAATATCCAAATTCCAACAAAGGAAAATCAATGTGCGTAACATTTCCATGAATTTTTACCTATTCCCCCTGACAATGTGTCAATGGAAATAATTGAGACGATGATGGTCCATTTCTCTCAGCTCATTACCATCAAATTATTTTCTACAATATTTAGTTTTCCTTCCTGAGGATCCCCATAGCAACAGTTTAGAAGCAGGGCTTCAGAATTAATTGCTTCATACTCACCCAGTGCAAAACGCTGGCCAGGAGTGGGAGTTCCCTTCTTTATGGAACTGCTGACATTGAGGCTTTTCTTGAAAGCTGTTGCTAGACATCTCAAGCCTAAAAAGAGCCAACGCAGTAAGTGTTCTCTCTGGAGAGGAGAGCATGGCGGCTCCCAGGAAGTGGGCCCTGAGAGGGAAATGAGTCCTTGCTGTGCCTGTGTGCTCCCTGCCACTTGCTTTCTCTCGTGTTCAGTTCACCCAAGTGCCCGTGTTGGTTTTCTCATTATTTTAAACTGTATATCCCAAAATAGCTTCTGGCATGCTGTCCTCAGCACAGAAGCTCATAAAAACTCAGCAAGACAAGTATTGGCTGCATTATTCTTCTCTCTATGACTGAAGCTTTAAAAAAGGAAAAAGAAGAGCCCGAGGTAGAAACTGTGACAAGGTCTGGGGGCTGAAGACCTTAAAAATGAGGCCACATGCCACAAGAGTTCGGCTTACTTATCACCCAGCATTAGAAGGCACTGATCTAGCCCTCTCTTCCTCCGTGCTGCCTGCAAATGCACAGCCATCTCCTACTGAGACTCATGGCGGCCTTCAGACCTCGGGTGAAGCCCAAGATCTTTAAAAAGAGGACCAAGAAGTTCATCTGGCACCAGTCAGACCAATGTGTCAAAATTAAGCACAACTGGCAAAAACCCAGGAGCACTGACAATAGGGTGCACAGAAGATTCAAAGGTCAGATCTTGATGCCCAGCTTTGGTTACGGGAGCAACAAGGAAACAAAGCACCTGTTGCCCAGTGGCTTTTGGAAGTTCCTAGTCTACAGTGTCATGGAGTTTGAAGTGTTCCTGATGTGCAACAGATCTTACTGTTCAGAGGTTGCTCACCATGTCTCCTGTAAGAACCACAAAGCCATTGTGGAAAGAGCAGCCCCACTGGCCTTCAGAGTCACCAATCCCAATGCCAGGCTACACAGGGAAGAAAGTGAATAGGCAGACAGCTTATGTGCTCATTGTATTGGGGTTGATAAAACCATAAAATTACAAAAAAACAAAGAAGGTGCTGATCCAGGGCAGGCTTTAACCTGATAAAGAGCAGGCTGAGACCTGGAAGTTGAGACATCTGGAATATTATCTCTAACACTATCAATAGCTACTGTGTGATTTCCCTCCATTTAGACTCTTTGGATATTCATTTAGCCATCTGTTAAAAAGAAGAGGGAGGAGGAGAAGGAATGGGGGAGATTTGTCTAGAGAATACATGTAAAAACCTTTAAAACAGTGCTTAGTACATAATATAGGTATAGTACATGCTAATTATTATCATGAAATGCTTTGTAAGTTTCCTGCTTGATTTAAAATTTAATTTTCCATAGCTTCTGAGAAAGTATAAGTTGTCAATATACTTAAGGATCCAAGAGTAATACACATGTGATGACTTAAAAAGTGAGACAAGACTGTGCATTTCTGTGCTAAATTGAAAGAGAAACTCAGGGCAAGCATTAAGAAGAGAAAGGGAGCTGCTCCTACTTACCTTCCTTCTGCCTTAATATATCTCAATATCTCCACTTTTTCTTTCTTCCTTGGCTCCTGCGGGGGCATACAGGACCTTTTCTCCTTGCCATGCATATCCATTTCACCTACACCCTAAACCCCGCTTTGTCTTGCCTTTCTCGAGAATAAAGCTCCCAAATAAACATCTTTTCTTCTTTGCACATCGCCAACTCTTCTTTTTTCCTTGTTCCTTCCCTCTGAATTAACAGCAACCTCAGGTCTCTCCTGAGTAACTATGTTGATTTAACTCTGCTACCACTAAGGCTGCCACCATTTCCTACAAAACCACTTGCTTATTTGTTTCCTTTTGTTTTTAAGAATCTTATGTGCCCAGGGGCACCTGGGTGGCTCAGTCAGTTAGGTATCTGCCTTTGGCTCAGGTCATGATCCCAGGGTCCTGGGATCGAGTCCCGCATCGGGCTCCCTGCTCAGCGGGAAGCCTGCTTCTCCTTCTCCCTCTGCCTGCCGCTCTGCCTGATTGTGGGCTCTTTCTCTCTCAAATAAATAAATAAAATCTTAAAAAAAATCTTACATGCCCAGAATTGAAGTTCAGGCATAAAATTATCATCAATCTTGACAAATCCTTTCTTTTATGTATTTTTTGGTACATTTTCTTGTGCAAAGTATGTTCTTTAAATGCTAGTTTCTTATTTCCTTTTTTAAAATACATATAATAAAACCTTGGAAAATGCACTATTTTGTATATATTTATGTATTTAAGATTCACATAGTTTAGAATTAGTAATCTTATTATCTTGCTTGCCTTTTTTTTTTAACCCAGTGTTACATTTTTGGCATCCATCTATGTATTGATCTATCTAACACAACTTGAATAAGTATAGAAATCAAATCAGTTACTCTTCTGCATGGAATTCCTTCCTATGCGTACATTGTATTTTATATAAAGAGGGGAAACCCCATGTTGTTTACATTGTCTTGCTACAATACACAAACTGCAGTGACCATCTGCCTAGAGGTCACTGTGTGAATCTGAGCTATGTGCTCTGGCAAGCATGATCCCAGTGCAGTATTGCTGAATCACAGGCGATATGAGAGCAATCTTACTGCTTTCTGAAGTGGCTACATCTGCAGGTATTTCAGCATTGCTGGAGGGTCCTTTTTTATCACATTTATCTAATATCCAGCTTTCTAATTGTTACCAGTAGTAAGTTAACAGGTATTTCTTTACTTGAATTTACTTTTTTTCTGGCTATTAGTGAGATTGGGCACCTATATGTACATTAGTCTTTCAGATTTTTCTTCTCTAATTGTCTATTCAAAATTTTTGTCTTTTTCTTCTATTGGACCTTATACCTTTTTTCTTGTCAATTTGAAGTTCCATGTACAGTATGCATATCAGCAGCCCCATGTTGGCTTTAGATATTTAACCATATTTATCCAGTCTAACACTAATCCTTAAACTCTGTACCATTCTTAAACAGAAGTTTCTCATTTTAATGGAGTCAAAGCAATAAACAAATCCATCAAGGAAGTTTTCAACCAACCAACTCATTTCCTGACCCCGTTTCCTACACATAAACGGCCAACATTCAGTCACCATTGTCTCCTGAAGTGATTTTCATAATGTTTACATTAGTGAGCACACCTTTGGGATTTACCATCCTTTTATTACTTCTTTCAAAATTCTAGGCACAAAAAATCAGCATTGTATGCTAGTTTGCTATCTTGTCCCCCAAACTTCTTAGGACCAGATTTACCAACTATTTTCCTTTCCTCAACATTATCTAAAATTTAAATTGAGGTTGTTTTGTTACAGGATGTCAACAATGTCAAAATTTCAGAACTTCCTCAGATCGAATAATACAAAATTTAAGTTAGCATTTGCTACTATTTGACCCCTTACTCTCTTTCTAGTTAAGTGTTCTACCTTCCTAACTGCTTTTTTTGTTTGTTTTCTTCACCAGATACCTTTCCTAAACACTAAATATATGCGTTACTCTAAGTTTTGATCACAAGACAATTGTCTCTTCCCCTTTTAGTCTTTTGTCTAAAGATCTCAACTATTGCCAGGCTTTTGATTTTCTCCATGCCCCTATAACTTTGAAATCTATATCTTTCATCCTAATCTCTTTCCTGAACCTTTAAATAGGTGTTCCATCATTTTTAAAATCACCTTCAATTAGATGACCTGCTAGAAACTTAAATGTAAAATATCAAGCACCTTTTCTATTCCTGGGTTTCTTATTTCTGCTTGAGTTTCTATGATTCTCTCTGTTATCCAACTTTCAAATCTAATCATTTCTGTTTTTCTTCTCCTTAGTTTTTTAAGATTTTATTTATTTATCTGAGAGAGAGAGACAGAGATAGCAAGAGAGAGCACGAACAGGGAAGAGAGGGAGAAGCAGACTCTCCGCTGAGCAGGAAGCCCGATGAGGGGCTCGATCCCAGGACCCTGAGATCATGACCTGAGCTGAAGGCAGATGCCCAACCAACTGAGTCACCCAGGCGCCCCTGTTTTTCTTCTCCTTACCACCATTAAGCAGTGAGCAGTCAAGAAGCACAGACAATGTCAGTGCTTTTATGACACTTTTTTCATCATTGTATTGTTAGTGTAAAACCCTACAGCAGGATGTCTCTTTATTCAGTAGCTGATCTAACTTTTTAAATTAAATATTTTATTCAAATAGTTGTAGATCCACATGAAGAGATTTCTGTATATACTTTATCCACTTTCCCCTAATGGTAACATTTTGCAAAATTGTAATTTGTACCTTTGTTACGATTGATTAATCTACATTGACATATCATTATCTCTCAAAGTCCTTAGTTTATATTAGGGCTCTTGGTGTTGGGCATTATGAGTTTGCATCATGTATAATGATATGTCCATCCATCATTGTGGTATTGTACAGCATAGTTTCACAGCCCTAAAAATCCTCTGTGCTCTGTCTATTCATTCTTCCCTCCCCCCCAACTCCTGGTAACCACTGATCTTTTTACTGTCTCTAGGCTTTTGCCTTTTCTAGAATGACACAGATTTGAAATCATACAATATGTCACCCTTCAGATTGACTTCTTTTATTTAGTAATATTCATTTAAGCTTTCTTGATTTCTCTTGTAGCTTGATAGCTCATTTCTTTAGCTCATTTCTTTTTAGCACTAAATAATATTCCATTGCCTGCATATACCATAGTTTATTTACCCATTCACCTGCTGAAGGACATCATGATGATTTCCAAGTTTTGGCAGTTATGAATAAAGTGGCTATAAATGTCCATGTGCAAGTTTTTGTGTGAATATAACTTTCCAACTCCTTTGAGTCAATACCACAGAGCATGATTGCTGGATCATATGGTAAGAGTATGTTTATTTTTGTAAGAAACTATCAAACTGTCTTCCAAAGTGGCTGTACGGTTTTACAATCCCAAGAGCAAAATGAATGAGAGTTTCTATTGCTCCACATCCTCACGAGCATTTGATATTGTCAGTGTTTTGGATTTTAGCTATTCTAATAGGTGTGTAGTCATAGTTTTAACTTGTAATTCTCTAATACCATATGTGTGGAGTATCTCTTCATATGCTTACTTGTCATCTGTATATCTTCTTGTTCAGGTCTTTTGCCCACTTTTTAATCAGGCTATTTGTTTTCTTAATGATGAGTTTTAAGAGTTCTTTGTATATTTTGGGTAACAGTCCTTAATCAAATGTGTCTTTGTGAGTATTTTCTTCTGGTCTGTGTCTTGTCTTCTTTTTCTTTTGATATTATCTTCGGTGCAGTAGTTTTTAATTTTAATGAAATTAATTTATTTCTTTGACAGACTTTGCCTTTGGTATTTTATCTAACAGGGCATTGCCATACTCAGGGTCATCTAGGTTTTCTCCTGTTATCCTCTGGGAGTTTCATTGTTTTGCATTTTGCATTTAGGTCAATGACCCATTTGGAGTTAATTTTTGTGAAATGTGTAACATCTGTGTCTAGATTTGGGGTGTGTGTGTGTGTGCGTGTGTGTGTGTGTCCAGTTGTTCCAGCATATATGTTGCAGAGACTATCTTTGTTCCATATACTTTCCTTTGCTTTGTCAGAGATCAGTTGAATATGGGTCTATTTCTGGGCTCTCTTTTCTTTTCCATTGATCTATTTCTCTGCCCTTTAGCTAATACCACACTGTCTTGATTACTGTAGCTTTATGGTAAGTATTGAAGTCTATGGTAGTGTCATTCTTCTGACTCAATAATGAATTGGCTTTTCTGGATCTTTTGCCACTACATGTAAACTTTAGAATCAATTTATCAATATGCATAAAAAAACTTGTTGGGATTTTGATTGGGACTTGGTTGAATCTATAATCAAGTTAGAAAGAGCTGACATCTTGACAAAATTGAGTTTCCCTGTCCATGAATATACAATGCAGTATCTCTCCATTTATTTAATTCTTTGATATCTTTCATCAGAGATTTGTAGTTTTCCTCATATAGA